GAAGTCTACACCGCCACGTCCTTAAAATTCAGGGAAATGAAGGACGCATTTGAGGGCCGCATTTCGAGCAGCCTTCGAATTGGGACAGCCTTCGTCGCGTCGCGGTGACGTAATCGGCCTTAAAATGCGGCATTTAAGGCTGCAGACCCTGAATTGGGATACAGCCATGTTGACAGGTCATTCAGCCATTTGAATCAGCTGTGTTGGATCAAGGACACGTCTAAGACCTGCAGGACACGGCCCTCGAGGCCTGGAGTTTCCACCCAGTCCTAAGACAATTTCTTCATATTACAGAGAGCCTTTGTGTAGCATATGGTAGTTCGATGGAGGGGTGGGTACAGACTATAAGTACAAACCTTTATGTATATTTATAGATCACCACATCTTAAAGAAGCCATTGTACAGTATGAATGGATTTTAATGGGGGAACAGACAGGACAGACAGTTTTGCATCAGCATGATTCTCTAAGATCAGAGCTCAGCCTTCAAACTGTACAAAAGGTGCAAAACAATTATAACATATCAGGTTTAAAATGCTCAAAACATTTGTGTAATGAGGTTTCGAACCAGTCCGACTCCCACTGCCACAGTGACACCTACTGGCCACTTTCTGCTAGTATCACATTTTAAAATGCTATTCTGCACTGACTGTACTGGACTATCAATAATTATGATCAACACATGTTAAACACAGCAAGCTGTGACTATGAGTGTGTGACAGCAAATACCGCAGACAGGACAAAATATTAGGCACCTATGAAACTGAAAGTTTTAGTAAAAATTTTCCTGGTGCCTTTCTTGGAATTGAAGTGAATCAAATTGAGCTGAATGCATCTACAGACTCCAGAACAACTGCCCAGATACCAGTGAAGGACTTCGCCAAGTCGGGATTTTAGGAGGTGGTGAACCCTGAGGCAACAAGTAACGTGACAGCTTGATAGGCAAGCCAGGCGAAACTAATCTTGTGTCTATTTTTCTGTCTGGGAAAGAAAAGAAGGCAAACTATGGAATGACAGGAAGTTGTCACGTGTGGGAAAAACCCCCAGTATAATTCCTTCAACAAGTGGTCACCAGCAGGGAGACTGTGTGGAACTGATGTGTCTACAAAATAAAGGGAGGCAGCCGGTTTTTCCTCTATGGCTGAAAAGAGGATTAAAGAGGAAAGAAAAACAAAAGATCTGCCTGGTCATTGAGTGAAGTCCAGTTAAACACCTGTGGTAGATGCATCAATCCCTTCCAAATGGGGAAGCTGCACAAACTGTACCATCAGTGAAGACAGGAACAGACTGTGAGGCTGTAGACCATCAATAACGCCACTTCTGCAGAAGAGACACCACCAAGCCAGACTGAAGCTTGCTAAAGATAAGCTGGGAAAAGACTCGGCGTAGTGGAAACTCAGCCTTTGGTCAGATGAAATAAAACTAGAGCTCTTTGGCCACAGAGATTCTGCTTATGTTGGGAGAAAGAATGCAGAGGCATACAGCCAGATGAATACCATCCTCACGGTGAAACACGGCGGTGGGAGTATTAT